TAGAGAGAGAGTGAGTTAAAATTTCCGTTCTGAGTGAGAGGAAAGACTAAAACAGGATCCACGCGTGCTCACTACATGCCGCGATTTTCAAAAATGCACTTAGCAGTAGTGAAGCATAACACTGAGCTTATAAACACAAGCACACACAACACACACACACACACACACACACACACACACCCCCACACACACACACACACACCGACACACGCACCCTGACACCATTGAACCCTCATCATAGAGGCCACTGGAATACTACAGACTACAACATAAGTAAAGGACCACTTGCAAACACTCTGAGTGGTCTTCTTGGGTCGATCTGCACGTTCTTGGACTGAATCAGTGACTTAATGGCGCTGCCTCAAGCGGGCAATGACAGAGTGACACTGCAATCCTTCTGGCAACTTCTCGGGCTCCAACTCCTTCCTGCAGCAATGCCATAGCTCTGGCACGATCAAAGTCTCTCAGCTTTTGTCTCGGTGGTATGTTGATGCGATACTGGATTTTACGCGAACGGCGGCTTATATTGCCAGCAGAGGGGGCACAGTTCTAGACCGTACGTCCGTCTACCACTGCACAGAAAATTTAACTGAGGAATGTACATGGTGATGCACACAAGTCGATAAAAAACAGCAAATTTGCCTAAAATTCCCGGAGGATTACCATGCTGCACGTGATGGTTTTGCCACTTTAGGAAGCTTAGCAGTACATATTGATAACCCATTACAACTTTCAGAGCAAAAAAATAAGTTGAAACATTCCTTTCTGGGTTTTTTTTTCAGATTTAAAAAAAAATCAGGGCAGTCTGTCAAAATGGTCCTTAACTTATGTTGAAGTCTGTTTAACCCCCCTCCCCATCCCCTGCCCTCCTCACGACCACACCTATCTCTTCCGCTCCTCTCATGATTAACAATTAGTCGGCTGTCTCTTTGTGTAATAGCAGTCAGGGCGTGCAACTGCTGGTTGAGCCTGCTACGTTCCTTTTATATTAGTAAGAGCTCTACAGCGCTTGCAG